GCATTGATTAAAAATAATAAAATTTAAAAATAAATGGGTGGTACCAGAAAGGTTAAAATGAAAGACACAGACAATAGGAAAAAGTAAGGCTGTGAAGCAATTAGAATTCCTATACACTGCTGGTGGATGTATAAGTGATTTAACACTCTGGAATGCTGATTATGTATACCTACTCCTACGAATATACCAACAGACATGCATACATATATTAACCAAAAACATGTACAGAAAGGTTCATGGCAGCACTGTAACAGCCAGCAATACCCATCAACAGAATGAATTATATGCACACAATGGATTTCTAGACAGAAATGAAAACTAAACTGCTTTGTGCAACAATACAGATGAATCTCACGAACATGTTTAAGAAGCCAGACCCAAGAGAGAGACACATTGTGATTCAATAGTAAACTAATGAAGCAATCTATCCTATTACAGTCTAAAGGAGAAAGTCAATAGATTTAAAAATTCTCAACAAACTGGAGGTAGAAGGCAACTTGAACTTGATAAGGACAGCTAACATCATATTTAACAGTGAAAGTTGAATGCTTTCCCTCTAAGTGCAAGTGAAAATAAGAATGTCTACACACCACTTCTTTACAACATTGTACTGAAAATTCTGACCAAAAATAACAGGAAATAATTTATAAAATTTTAAAACAGGATATAATTTAAACGGTGTATCATTTATAAAATCTATAAATATCAGAATGTAATTCTGAAAAGGATTCACACAGATTGGAAAGAAAGAAATTACTTACAGATGACACAATCATGTATGAAGAAAGTCTTATATTAAGCTTATGCTAAAAAGCTACTAACAGTCCTTCATATCTGAGGGGTCTGTATCTACTGATTCAATCAACTGCTGACGGAAAATATTTAGAAAAGTAATACAATTAAAAAAAAATGCCAATACAGTATAACAGCTATTTACAAAGCACTTACATTGTATTGGGCATAAGTAATCTAGAGATGATTTGGAGGGACAGGATGTAAGTCATATGCAAATAGTACACCATTTTATATATGGGATTTAAGCATCCACAGATTTTTGTATTGAGGGAGTTGGCTACTGAAAGATGACTAATCAATGTAGCAAGGTCACAAAGTCAATATATAAAAGTATTTCTATTTAAAATTATATTTCTATTTGAGCAAATTGTACAGTGCTATAAAAATACAAGCTACTGGCCAGGCGCAGTGGCTCACACCTGTAATCCCAGCACTTTGGGAGGCTGAGGCGGGCAGATCACGAGGTCAAGAGATGGAGACCACCCTGGCCAACATGGTAAAACTCCATCTCTACTAAAAATACAAAAATTAGCTGGGTGTGGTGGGGCGTGCCTATGATCCCAGCTACTTGGGGGGCTGAGGCAGGAAAATCACATGAACCCGGGAGGCAGAGGTTGCAGTGAGCTGATATCGCGCCACTGCACTCCAGCCTAGGGACAGAGTGCGATCTCCGTCTCAAAAAAAAAACAAAACAAAACAAAAAAAAAAAAAACAGCTACTGGCCAGGCTCAGTGGCTTATACCTCTTAGCATCTTAGGAGGGCTGTTTGAAGCCAGAAGTTCAGGACCAGCCTGGGCAACAAAGAGACCCTATCTCTACAAAAATAAAAATTGTGTAAAAGTTTAGCTGGACATGGTGGTATGCGCTTATGGTTCTAGCTACTTGGGAGGCATAAGGATCGTGTGGAACCCAGGAGGTCAAAACTGCAGTGAGCTAAAATTGTGTCACTGCATGCCAGCCTGGGCAACAGAATAATACCTCATCTCTAAAAAGTAAAAATTTAAACATTTTTTAAAAATGAGCTACCTAAAGATAATTTTGACAAAATGTGCAAAAGCTACACACTAAAATACAAAGCTAATAAAGGAAAAGAAGACCTAAGCAAATGCAAAGTGATACCATGTTCATGGATTGGAGTGGTTCAACTCTATAGATTAAACATCATCCCAGTGAAAATCTGAGCAAGGAAACTGAAAAAGTATTTCTAAGATCTATGTGTAAAGGCAAAAGGATCAAGAATAATCAAAATAGTTTTGAAAAGAACTAAGTCCTGTGATTTACACTACCTGACTTTAAGACTTAGTATGAAGCAGCGGGGTACAGTGGCTTATACTTGTAATCCCAGCATTTTGGGAAGCTGAGGCAGGCAGACCACTTGAGGCCAGCAGTTTAAGACCAGCCTGGCAAATGCAGCGAAATCCCATCTCTACTAAAAATATAAAAAACTTAGCCAGGCGTGGTGTTGCACACATGTAATCCCAGCTACTTGGAGGCTGAGGCATGAGAATCACTTGAACCCAGGCAGTGGAGATTGCAGTGATCCAAGATGGAGCCACTGCACTCCAGCATGGGCAACAGAAAAAGACTATAAAGCTGCAGTAATCAAAGCACTGTGGTAACTGGCAAACACATAGACATAAAAATCAATCAAACATCATACAAAGTCTAGAAATAGACCTGTGATATAAGTCAGGTGATTTTAACAAAGTGCCAGATAATTCATTAAGAAAATGATTTCTCAATAAATGATGCTGGAACAACTGGCTATTCATTTAGGAAAAAATGCCACATACAAAAATTTGAAATAAGTCCTAGACCTAAGCCTAAAATATAAAACCTTAAAATGTCTAGAAGAAAACAGGATAAAGATCTCTGAAACTTTGCAGTAGGCAGATTTCTTAGAACTCAAAAAGTATGAATCAAAGTGAAAAATAAATTAGACTTCATCAAAATTAAAAAGTTTTGCTCTATAAGAGACATCATTATCAAAATGATGAGGCAGGCTACAGACCAGGAGAAAATATGTGCAATACATTACCTTGCAAAAGACTTGTATCTAGCATTTATAAGGAACTCTCACAATGTGATATGATAATCCAATACAAAATGGGGAAAAGATTTGAAGGCATACATTACACAAAAGATATATGAATGGATAAATAAGCTCAAAAAAAGATGCTCAACATCATTAGTCAAGAGGGAAATGCAAATTAAAAGCACAATGAGATACCACCACTTCACACCCACTAAAATGGCAAAACTGAAAAGACTAGCAGTATCAAGTGCTGGAGAAGATGTGAAGAAACTGGAAGTCTCAGTTGGGAACTTAAAATGGTACACTTTGAGAAACATTTTGGTAGTCCCTTTAAACATTCACTTACACAACCCAGTGATTTCACTCCTACACATTTAACCAAAAAACATGAAAAATGTCCAGACAAAGATCTGTACATAAATGTTACAGCAGCTTCCGTCAGAATAGCCACAAAGTAGAAAAGACCTGAAAGTCCACTGACAGGTTAATGGACAAACATATTACAGCATATCTATGCAATGAAACATTACTCAGCAATAAAAATGAATTACTGACAATACAACAAGATAGATCAATCTGGAAAGCTGAGAAAAAGAAGCCAGACACAAAAGAGTTGCAGCCAGAAGGAAATGTCAGATTGCTGTCTCCTGGTAGATTAAACTAAAATTTGAGGCCTGTCTATGGTCATTTCTTTTAACATGCAGAAAAAAGCACACTGAACATAACAGTGAGTATTCAGAAGCCTCTCAATAAATTACTACAATCTTTGCTGCCAGGTTTTCCTGAGATTCACTTTGAACAAATCAATTGCCATCTCTGCTTAAACTAACTTGACTTGAGCTGCTTTCAACTGCAAACAAGAGTACTGATAAACCAAAGTCAAAAAATTTGCAGCCACTGCTATACTCATAGAAAATTTCACAGCCTGAAATAAAAATAGCTAATAGCACTTGTATTGAGTGCTTATTATATACAGGTACAGCTTTAAGTACCTACTATAGAAGAACCCATAATAATAAGACGCTAATTTATGGCATAATTAGTTCCACAAATAATGTGGACAGCATATACAAGGTCAGTATCTAAGTCCATCAGCTAAGTTAATTATCGGAGAAGACTAATAGATATTTTATGCTTAGTTATATGTAAATAGTAAGCTGCCATGTAAAAAAATTCATTGCCTCCCTAGCAAAGTAAGGAGTAGAGTTTCAAAACAACTATTAAGCTAGCAAAAGTAAATGAAGTTATAAATTACAATGATCACAAAACTGGAAAAACAGGTGCAATTTAGATATATTGCTGGCAGCACTCTAAACTGGTTTTTTTCTAGAAAATACCACATCTATCAAGAGGTCCCCAGTAAAATATAAAAAAATTAAAAAAAAGAAAACACATCTAACAAAATGTTACCAAACTGTTTTCACATTCATAAAATATCCTCAAGTTGACTAATTCTTTGCAACACATAACCCATGTAAATTACCCTAAGTAACAGTAACAACAGAAAGAAATGTGCAAAGATATCAGCATAATGCCATTTACAGTGTAAAGATTTACAAGCACATATATACCGACTAACAGAAAAGTCAAACACGACGTAGCACAGAGCCACAATGGAATAAAGCTATTCAAAGCAACAAACTTTAGGCAAAGCCACTGCAGACTAAGCTAATAATCAGAAACATATAAGGAAGCTGTAGGCCAAAATTTTAAATATATATAATTTGGATTCACTGATTACAACTATGTATAATAAAGTATGTAGGTCTGTTAATGATTAGAAATATGGAATGATACGACTTTATAATTAAATTCTTATTTGTATAAGATTGTTTAAATTCATGGTAGACAAACATAAAAGATCTCAACAATCTATCTTTAAAAAAATAGTATTTTATCTTTACATCCTAGCAACTAAATACACATTTCACAAGTTTAAGTAAAAATCCTTTTGTGTCAACTCCGTAACTACTCTGTCCAATTTTATTATGAAATGTACAATGTTCATTTGTTCACCCAAGGTCTAATTAGTTTAAGGAAAACCAAATTATTTAAAAGAAAGCGAATTCTGAATATTCTTTACATTTAAGCAAACTTCTGAGAACTTTCTACATTTTTTATTCATTTAGCACAAAACATCTCCTGCAACTTAGTAAAGTATCACACATACCTGATGCAATGACTGGATCTTTCATAAGTTCTCTAGTTATTGGACATATAAATTCATCAGGAATTTCTGAAGAAAGGAATTTAACCCTGGTCCGGAGCTCTTCAATTTTCCTCAGCACTTTACTACGCAGTCCTAAAGATTCTGAAAAGAAAGTATTTTCAGGGTTGGATACCTACTAGTAATCCTTATGCAAGTCATTCACAAACAGAGTTGTTGGAGTTTTTGTTTTTGAGACAGGGTCTCACTCTTTTGCCCAGGCTGGAGTGCAATGGCATAACAATCACTGCTCATTGCAGCCTCAACCTCCTGGGCTCAAGTGATCCTCCCACCTCAGTCTCCTGAGTAGCTGGGACTACAGGCACACACCACCCCATGCCTAATCAATTTATGTATTTTCTGTAGAGATAAGGTTTCACTATTGTCCACACTGGTCTCAAACTCCTGGGTTCAAATGATCCAACTGCCTCAGCCTCTCAAAGTGCTGGGATTACAGGTGTGAGCCACCACACCCAATCACAAATAGAGATTTTATCTACTACCACCAGAAATCAATCTTCTGATATCCTGTTTTAGCACAAGGAACTATTGTTATTTTTTTATAAATTCATTAACAAATCTCTGTTTACAGAATACTGTATGATTAAAATATATCAGCAGCTAATAATTTTAAATAAACTTAGATTCTGAAAGTTCAAAAATTTCAGGTTGCCAGACATTAATATACTCTCTAAAATTAGAAAAGGCTATTACTGGTTCTTGATTCAACAAAAAATTTCCTTAAAATCATTTTTAAATATGTTTTGAGTTCAAAACATAAAAATACCATATTTTTAACTTAATGAAATTGGGTATATTTGCTGATTCTTGTAAGAAACACAATCACAAAAAAAGCTCATCTGTATGCATGTTTCACTTGTTTGTATTCTTAATTTTAAAAAATTATCCTAATTTTTAGTTTTAGATAGTCATAATTAATTTTAGGATTTTTTTTTTTTTTTTGAGACAGAGTCTTGCTGTGTCACCCAGGCTGGAGTGCAATGGCGTGCTCTTGGCTCACTGCAACCTCCACCTCCCAGATTCAAGCAATTCTCCTGTCTCAGCCTCCCAAGTAGCTGGGATGACAGGGGCACGCCACCATTTCCGGCTAATTTTTGTATTTTTAAATAGGGACGGTGTTTCACCATATTGGTCAGGCTGGTCTCGAACCCCTGACCTCGTGATCCACCCGCCTCAGCCTCCCAAAGTGCTGGGATTATAGGCGTGAGCCACCGTGCCCAGCTAATTTTAGGAATTTTAGAATTATTGGCTGTTTACACTTTTAGAACTATATGACAGTTCTACTTGATGTTGAAGTAGGTAGAAGAATTAGATTTCAGAATGCCTTATAGTTACTAGAAAAAGCCAAACCAACTTTCTTTTTGTTGGGAGGTAATGCCCCATAATATTTATACACATCTTAGGACACCCTGTGTTTTGGACAGTTTTCTCAAGGATGTCTAAAATCATCCTTGAAAGCTAGAGATAGTGTTTCCCTCCCCAAGGAGGACAGATGTTTCCTGACCACTATAATGTCTTCCTCGTGGGGGCTATTTTGCTGGTAGCCCCCTTGTAAGACTAGGGGTTTCCCAAGCTCAGGGCTTCTCAGCTATGACACAAACATAAATCACCACCATAAAACTCAAGAGGGAAAGGGCAGGGTAGGCACAGTGGCTCACATCTGTAATCCCAGCACTTTGGGAGGATGAGGCAGGTGGATCACTTGGGGTCAGGAGTTCAAGACCAGCCTGGCCAACATGGTGAAACTCCATCTCTACTAAAAATACAAAAAAAAAAAAAAATAGCCAGATGTGGTGGCACACGCTTGTAATCCTAGCTACTTGGGAGGCTAAGGCAGGAGAATTGCTTGAACCCAGGAGGCAGAGGTTGCAGTGAGCTGAGACTGCACCACTGCACTCCAGCCTGGGTGACACAGCAAGAGACTGCCTGAAAAAAAAAGGGGGGGAGGGAGGGGAAACAATCAGAACCTGAAGTGCAAGTGTCTGCTGTGTCACGAGTAATAAACCATTTGAATCAGTCTGGGCTCACTGCCCAAATTCATGTGAATGTGGCAAGTTATCCTAGCAGCTCCCTGCCACCAAGGGGCTGCTTTCCTGTGACTTCCTTCCAACAGAATATGCTGAAACTGAACTGAGAATTTTTAAAACAGGTTTTTTAAAGCTCCACGAACAAATCAATGATTTCTTTACATGCTGAATATGAGTTTGCAAAAATATTTAGGACTCAAAGATTCTCTCAAATTCTTTATGCAATCACTATCCAGATTTAAGAGAAAGTTGTTTCAGCACGAAAGTGCTTCAAAGTGCTTGGTTAGGGAAGTACCTCTAAAATGCAGCGAAGTATTATCTGATCACCACAGCCAGCCTTTAATGTAACAAGTCAGAGAAACACAGTTTATCAAGTCTACCTCTTCCCAGAATATCCCATTCACAATGCTGTGTTCTCCAAGGGTTAGCTGAGTGGTGTGTTTTTATTTTGCCAGGCAAATACAATGTAAGGTTTAAGAGGAATTATAATGATGGATCATGTATTCTAAGTAAGGTGGAAAATAAGAGCAGAGATAGATAACAGGTATGTAAGATCAACAGAATAAAGGTTTTGATCAGATCAAGATTTGCTGAAATGGGGTATTATGGAACGAGATGGTAGAAAATCTACATGACTGGGGTATGCTTACTGAAAATCTTCCACCTGGGTAGAGACATGGCTTCAAAAACTGTCATAAATGTTTCTAGAACACGTTTACAATAAGACAGTAGACATCTCATTTAAAGAGATAATTATATAATTTATAATAAGAAAAGGAGGCTGGGTGTAGAGGCTCATGCCTATAATCTCAGCACTTGAGAGGCCAAGGTGGGAGCACTGCTTAAGTCCAGGAGTTTGAGACCAGCCTGGGCAATATAGCAAGACTGTTTCTCTACCAAAAAAAAAAAAAAAAATTTAATTAGCTGGGCATGGTGGTGCATACCTGTAGTCCCAGCTCCTCAGGAGGCTGAAGCAGGAGGATCTATAGAGCCCAGAAGGTGGAGGCTTCAGTGAGCCATGTTCATGCCACTGTAATCCAGCCTGGGCACCCGAGTGAGACTCTGCCTATAAAAAAAAAAAAAAATAGAAAAAAATATAGGAGCAACTAATATTCTGAGAAAAGCATACTTTCCTGTAAAAAATATTCTATATGTGCCGGGTGCGGTGGCTCGCGCCTGTAATCCCAGCACTTTGGGAGACCGAGGTGGGTGGATCACGAGGTCAAGAGATCGAGACCATCCTGGTCAACATGGTGAAACCCCGTCTCTACTAAAACTACAAAAAATTAGCTGGGCATGGTGGCGCTTGCCTGTAATCCCAGCTACTCAGGAGGCTGAGGCAGGGGAACTGCCTGAACCCAGGAGGTGGAGGTTGCAGTGAGCTGAGATCATGCTATTGCACTCCAGCCTGGGTAACAGGAGCGAAACTTTGTCTCAAAAAAAAAAAAAAAAAAATTCTATATGTGTGCTAATACTTGGAATGCTTATAATATTTATAATAGAGAACACAGAAGGCCTAATTCAAAATTCCCCCAGATAAGGTTAAATTGGGTGCTATCATTATCCAATCTTAATGTCATTTAGAAACGCTCAGATCACCTTGTGCTCAGGGAAGCATTTACTAAACTACATCCCCAGAGCTTTACCAGAAACAAACATCTCTTTTTGTGACTCGGGATTGAGAATAAGTTTTATACACTTAATTGCTGAGAAAGAAAGGACCCTTACCAGCTGAGGGCTAGTAAACCCTCGGTACCAGTACTGGGCTATTATTGACTATAATCCTGAAAAGACATCTGGTTCTTGATGACAAGTTAAAATTACCCAACTCTGGAAATGCTACATCACTGAGAGTTTGATGGAATCTAGAAACTAACAACCATCAAATATATAAAACTAAACTAATGGATATAAAACTCAATGCTAAAAACCTCTCAGGAAACTGAATGTAACTGGGTTTCAGAATGGGAGCTGGGAAATGACAGCACAGAGCAGAGATGCGGGTACATGAATGAGACAGAGACCTTCCTACGTGTGCCCTTCACTCTCCCAACTTTGTCCTATAAGTACCATTGCCACAGCAGCCCCAGCTGGAGGCCAGTTACCAGGACAGCATGAGAGCCTGGAATTCAACAAGCAGACACCACCAAAGTAGTCACTGACTCACCTCTCCCCTGCCCTGACAGAGAACAACAGAACCAAATGCTGGATTCTTACAAAGAAAACTAAAAATCCACTTTTTTAAATTATAAATTTTAATTTAAAAAATCAAATTTCTAGGCCGGGCGTGGTGGCTCATGCCTGTAATCCCAGCACTTTGGGAGGCTAAGGCTGGTGGATCACGAGGTCAAGAGATCAAGACCACCCTGGCCAACATCGTGAAACGCCATCTTTAATAAAAAAAAAAAAAAATCAAATTTCTACATAGAATGATCAAGAAGAAACAAGAGAAGACATAAAACCTATAAAGAATGGAAAACACAGCTATTTAGGTACAGGAGGAGTTTTTAAGAGAGGATGTGGAAAAGATGATAGAAGCAATACAGTTTTTTAATTTCTATGAAAAAAACAGAGCAACTAGATAAACTCAAATTGCATGGACATTCCCAACAAAACAAGGTAGCAAGACATCTTCATAAAACCCCACAATCCATGGGTGAGGACAAACCATTAGCACCCATAAAGACCTGTGGTTGACATCTGTGTAGAGGAAAGCAACAGGACATCTGATGGGCCTGAGCAAATGAGACCCCAGTGTGTCCAACAAGTAAGCACTGGAAAGGACAGTGGGCCGACTTAAGACAGCAGCTGACTGGGGAGGGTTATGCCCCTTCCAGCAGGCGGTCAGTGCACAGTAACTAGATTTGAAAGGTTTGTTTCACTTTAATCACACATAAACAAACAAACAAAAAACCAAACTGCAAATGTTCAAGTACTTAACAATAAATGCAGTTACACAGGCAACAAGTGAAAATCTACATCATAATAAGAATTGAAACGTGAAACTTTCAAAATCTGAGGATGTAAAGACAGGTGATATATTTGAATCTCTAGTTTAAGTTGGAAAATGATAAAAATGTCTTATGTGCTTTTATAATTTCTTAGAGCAAATGGAAGAGTGAACCCTTTGAAAAAAAAATCTCATTGCCAATTAGGCATCTATGGTTGATGATTATCTGAATATAATCATAAATACTGACATGATATATAATAGTTCCTTGGCATTTGTCATTTTAAGTTTCTATCATTTTACCGTCTATAGAAATTTCAAACTCCAAGATACGTAGCAATGTGCCATGTTCCCAAGGCCTAGATATGAACTGAGGCCAATGAGTAGACAGATGGAAGCTGTGTGGCCAATTAGTAGAATCACTCACGGCATAATACTCCATCTAAAAGTGACTCTCCTACTCTTAACCTTTCACACTTTATGGCTTTTGAATGAGATATTAAATCTTACAGTAGTAGTCACAAATTCATAGCAAATGTCTAAAGACACATCCCTCTCAACATCAAGGATCTCTCGAACCTGTACTCTGTCTGGACATTCCTTATACAAATATACTACTAGATATAAGGAATTATTTCTTAACTAAAGCTGGATGTCTGTTGTACCCTAGGTTTCCATTAACAAAATCCTAGAAAATGCCTATTATCTTTGGTTAAAGCTCCAAAGTCTAATATATTCAAGGCTGCACAACATTTATTGTGTATTTACAAAAGACCCATTGAAAAAAGATTTGATAAACTGCTCAATTCCTTTAAAATAATTTAAATGTCAAACATAACAGATATACAACTTTGGTCTCAAACACTCCAGTGTACTTTACTGCACAATTAATTAGCTTCCTCGATTTGCTGAATGTTAAACTCAGATTTATTCATATTGACATAGGAGCTGTTTTAAACAGTTGTATCACAAAGGCAAATGCAGGTAAAATAGATATGCATTTAAAAAGTAAAATTAATTAGCATATATACTCATTGGTTTGCCTCAACACATTTATTTCTAGGCCAAATTTAATTATCTATTAGTGCAATTTACTATGTTGAGAGTCTATTTTTCTTAAAATTCAGGACTAAAGAAATTCATTGTAGCTTACAATAATAGCATTTATAGAAGATTAAAGTTAGCTACTCGATCCTTTATAATGAAGGCTGCAAAAACCTTAAATTAGAATGATATAAACAATAAATGTTATAGTCTATTTTTACTACTTTATTCTAATTTGTTGAGTTTGCTAGATCTCCAAATCTTTTTTTTTTTTTTTTTTGAGACGGAGTTTTACTCTTTTGCCCAGTCTGGAGAGCAGTGGCACAGTCTTGGCTCACTGCAACCTCCACCTCCCAGGTTCAAGCAACTATCATGCCTCAGCCTCCTGAATAGCTGGGATTACAAGCATGTGCCACCATGCCCAACTAATTTCGTATTGTCAGTAGAGACAGGGTTTCTCCATGTTGGTCAGGCTGGTCTCCAACTCCCGATCTAAGGTGATCCACCCTCCTCGGCCTCCCAAAGTGCTGGGATTACAGTCGTGAGCCACCATGCCTGGCCTGATCGCCAAATCCTAATCACAAGCATCAGGGTCTTTATTTACTAGAGAATGTGAAACATTTTTATATCCATTCTTAGTAATGGTTTTTCAAATTCACCTATTAGATCATCACAGAACTTGTTTAAATTATATTTCAATTTTGGCTTGGGACTTACACTTCCAAAACCCATTTCACTGAACTTAAGGTAAAATGAATACTACTGCTAAACCTGAGATTCATCCTTCAAAAAACAATGTCAGATCATTAATTAAATCCTACAAGAATGTCTTATTCTTGGCCAGGGGCAGTGGCTCATGCCTGTAATCCTAGCACTTTGGGAGGCCAAGGCGGGAGGGTCACTTGGGTTCAGGAGTTTGAACCCAGCCTTGGCAAAGTAGTGAGACCTCAGCTCTAAAAATAATTTTAAAAATTAGCTGGGCATGGTGGCACATGCCTGTGGTTCTAGCTACTCATGAGGCTGAAGCAGGAGGATTGCTTAAACCTAGAAGGTTGAAGCTGCAATGAGGCATGATCATGCCAGAGCACTCCAGTCTGGGCGACAGAGGGAGACCCTGTCTCAAACAAACAAACAAAAAACTAGAATGCCTTATTCTTTACCTAGTTATAAAAACAGAATTTTATTTCTATTAATTGCTTTTATATGCTTTGCTTATGTTTTCAAACATCCTTTGTTGAATCTGAAATTATTTCATATTGTCTGGTACTTCTACTTGATAAGGTATCCTTAAGATTCATTGTGAGAGATTAACAAGAAACTAAGATGGTAAATTGACAAGATTTTAAAAAAAAAAAACAAAGCTCTGGCCAAGTGCGGCGGCTCATGCCTGTATTCCAGCACTCTGGGAGGCCAAAGTGGGCGGATCACAAGGTCAGGAGTTTGAGACCAGCCTTGTCAATATGGTGAAACCCCATGCTACTAAAATTACAAAAAAATTAGCCGAGCATGGTGGTGCATGCCTGTAGTCCTACCTACTCAGGAGGCTGAGGCAGAAGAATTGCTTGAGCCTGCGAGGTGGAAGTTGCAGTGAGCCGGGATCACACCACTGCACTCCAGCCTGGGGGACAGAGAGTGACTCCATCTCAAAAAAAAAACAATCAAAAAACAAAAAAACAAAGCTCCTACTCTTACCTACTCTCAAAAGAAAAGAGGAACTTAGAAAGGAAATATTTTATGAGAGAGAGATTCTGGGCACAGTGGCTCATGCCCGTAATCCCAACACTTTGGGAGGCTGAGGCTGGAGGACTGCTTGAACCCAGGAATTTAAGACCAGCTCAGGCAATAGGGAGATCTCATCTCTACAAAAAATTTTTTTAAATTAGCTGGGCGTGGTGGCATGTGCCTGTGGTTCCAGTTACTTGTGAGGCTGAAACAGGAAGATCACTTGAGCCTAGGAGGTCAAGGCTGTAGTGAGCCATGATTGCGCCACTGAACTCCAGCCTAGGAAACAGAATGAGACCCTATCCCTTCCCCCACCCCACAAAAAAAGAGATAGAAAAGTGACTGTACTCAAGTATAGCCTGAGTATAGTACAAAACCACTTAACTATGTATTTTCACAAAACCATTCTGTTAACTCCTTAAAAGGCCATAGGTTTCCAAGAGATTTAAATAAGCTCACATACTATGTTTACTATGTAAGGAAAGTATAATGCTATACTTTAAAATGGTTTTCTATAAGAAACATTTTTAGTTATTTTACCCTTCATTAATAATAAATCTCAACATGAAAATCTTATTTCCTGAGCTTTCTGGTTAACTAAAATTTTACTATAGCATATTGGTACTAGTGTCTGGCAATTATATTTATTAGAACATGCTATCAAAACTGGTTTTTGGTAAGGAAGGATCTAGTACCCAGAATACATAAACAACTCTTAAAAGTCAACAATAAAGACAACCCAGTTTAAAAATGGGCAATGGATCTAAACAGACATTTCACCAAAGATGATATAAAAATGGCCAATAAGCACTTGAAAGATGCTCCATATCATTAGGTAAATGAAAATGAAAACCATAATGAAACTCCATGTCACAACTGCTAGGTTGTCACAACTACTAGGATAACCACAATCAACAAGATGGGTCATTAGTGTAGTGCCAGAACATTAAGAAGAAACCATTAATGCAACAAAAACCACCTGCAGAGTAATTTGGTAAAAGTTGTTTTTAAGATTGCCTATGTTAAACTAAGCTTACCAATTTTCAAATCATCAGCCAGACTTTCTTTTGTAAGATTCAGCAGTTCTTTTCCATCAATGTTATTCATCTTGAAAATACCAACAAGGTCTTTTAGACCTTGTGCACAAAGCCATGTTGAGACATCCTCCTCTGACCAATCTTCAGTAAATTGCTTCAGGTGACCTTCTGAGCTCCTTGCTTAAAATAAACAAACAGGTAACTGAGATAACAAACAAAAAATCACTTTCTTTTAAACATTCTCACTTTGAATTAAAAGTAAATGAAATTTCCTTAAATCTGCGTTTTAAATCTGCGTACAACGGCTGGTGCCCATAACCCTAGTTACTTGAGAGGCTGATGTAGGAGGATCGCTTGAAGTCAGGAGCTCAAGACTAGCCCGAGTAACTTAAGGAGACCTTGTCACCAAAAA